ACCATTTGTCCTTCATTACTGCCAAATAATCTTTTTGGCACTCTCAAAAGCCTTTTGGTACGTTTTTTGGTACGGAAAAAAATTTGTGAGTGGCATCACTGAAGCTGAGCAGTGCATTAAACGCACTCAGCCTCACTTATTGAATCGTTTGAATGTGAAGGCCAGCTACTGTTTTAAAGGACGAAAAGTTTTCCCGCACGTTCAAATTTGGCCATTGATAAACCAACCGTGGTCTTTCTTGGAACGATGTGGTCGAAACTTTCTTCGCTAATTCGCTACTTTTAAAATATCCAAGAGCTGGTTTCCTTGAGTCTTACTGCTGCGGCAATGGCCGCCCGGGCAATTTCATCAAGCGGAGGTAGATGCAAGGTCGCATTTAGGGTATATGACGACGTGAGACATCATAAATTCGTATAATATAAACATAGAAACAAAGTAGTCCTGACGTATGGGGTGTCGACTGCAGCACCATTATGAATTGCAACCTGATTGTACAATAAATACTGATTTTCTAAATAACTCAACCTAGCGGGTCCATTTTTCGCATAAGTATTTTTCATCGTGCAGGTAGAACACACTTTGAATTTGGACGAAATCGGATAACTCGGCTCCATCGCCAATGAGTTTTCTAGTAGCCTTTAATAGGACTTTATGCGCAGGGAATAACCTCCGAAAATTTTACTTAAATCTATCCAGGGATTTGATTTAATTCCGAACAACCAAAGCGGCTATCATTTTATACATTAATATATGTACATATCCATATACATAGATTACTTATTTTATTATTATTTTATTCGTTATTCGAATAATTAATGAAGATAATAGTTATTCGAATAACGAATAAAATAATTTATCTGTCATCCGAATAATTTTTCTTTGAATAAGCAAAGTTATTTATTATTTACGAATAACGAGAAAAACAATTTACTCATTTGTTATTCGTCATTCGAACTCTATTTTACTGAAATCTTAATATGAATTATTAAGAAATTGACAAATTGAATTTTACAAGACTTTTAGTAAATTTTCAGCAATATATGTAAATGGCTGCGTTTATAAACACAATAATGCAAAATATCACTCTCTTTTAAATCAAAATCCAAATTGAACTCATTTATCTTGTATGGTTGTGAAATTAAAGAGACTGATGGTTTGCATATCTGCGTTAATGAATTCAGCCAACATTTACAAAATTCGCCATTTAAAAAGGTGGATGCATCGATACATCGATGTTGTTGCCCCAAAAATATCGAAACATCGATGTTTTTCTAGCACTAGTTCTGATATATTAGTTCGGAACTAGCGCTTTGTCAGATTGTCTCTAAATTTTACAGCAGGGTAGCTGCAAATCGCTTGGCGTACAGCATTGTTGGTAGCTAGGCGTACTTACGCTTAGGCTTTTTGCACATTGGTCGTCCAATCATAGTTGCTTCATCGTCACAATCATGATGAAACGATTACATGACGACTACCCTTTCGCACACTCGGTCGTGATATTTCAATTCATTTGGCGTCTAAAAATTCTCTTGGAGCAGGTTTTTCCTGTTTTTCTGGTTGATATTTTCACGAAATATTTACAAAAACATGCAATTTGTAAAGTATAGACTGTGCTGCAACAATTCTAGACATCATTTTTCAGTAATATCTTTTCTTTTCCTGAAATGTGTTTTGTGCATGCACACAGAGACTTTTTACAATTTCGTCATATTTTATAGTTAAATCGCTCACATTTATTGAATTTTAATGCAATTATCCACTCTTTAATAATTTCCACAGATTTTATGCAAAAAATACTGATTTTTATGCAAATATTTACTTTTTCACTAATTTTTCCCCATAAAATGTAAACAAAGAATGCGTGCACAACGATTAGCAAGCGACAGTGCCGTACTTATCCGTTTCTGCATCTTCTACTATTTGCCGATAACTAGCCGATAACGGCAAGTGTGCAGATCTCCCTTGAAGTGCATGTGCTCGGCTCAAAATTTCAGGGCGAGACGATAACGCAACTATGATTGGACGACAAGTGTGCAGATAGCCTTAGAAAAGAGGAAGAAGAAGTTTGTTTACAATTTTCCGTGTGCGTGCATGCATTTCATAAAAAAAAACAATTGAAACAATAAAACTCGTGCAAATAATTAAAAAATAACTGAAAATTTATTAAAGAAATAATGATTTTTCATCAATTAACATTTTTGCGCCTCATACCTAGACGCTTTGAAGTCAATTCGTGTGCAGATCTTGAGGCGTAGAGGAATCGTTGCTGCAAAGACAATTTAATACGCGTCTAAAGCAATACGACCCGTGCGCAGAGTGCCTAATAGTCTAAGAGCGAGCAACGTTTTCGAGCAGGAATTTCAGGTCAGCTGGTTTTTTTGATATGACATCTCTTTCACTCCCTCGGTTAGCGTGGGGATCATCTGGCAGGCGGTAATGGTTGCGTTGACTAGTGCGCATCGTATCTTTACAGTTAAAAATGCTAATTTTTATACCCGAGCGCACTTGTGCACAAGGGTATATTAATTTTGTTCACATAACGATTGTTTGTAACAGCCAAAACGAATCGAGATAGATATAGACAAATGTATACATAAATGATCAGGATGAAAAAAGAAATCGATTAAGCCATGTCTGTCTGTCCGTCCGTCTGTCCGTCCGTCCGTGTACACGATAACTCGAGCAAAAATTAAGATATCTCAACGAAATTTGGTATGTAGGTTTCCCTTAATCCAAGGTAGGTTGGTATTGAAAATGGGCGAAATCGGACTGTAACCACGCCCACTTCCCATATAACGGTAATTTCCAGAAATACGAAAACTGCGATATTTTAGTAACTACTGAAGATAATTCACTCAAAATTGATATTTACAATAATTTTTAGACGAAAAATAAGAATATTATAAATTTTTGGAAAATGGGCGTAGCCACGCCCACTTATGGTTACATGTGTATATCTTGGTAACCGCTGCACCAATTTCTTCCAAACTTGGCACAGTTGTTGGCCTTCGCACAACATACCAAATGGCCGAAAATTTCTAAAATCGCTCAATAACCACGCCTACTTCCCATATAACGGTAATTTTCAGAAATACGAAAACTGCGATATTTTAGTAACTACTGGAGATTATTCACTCAAAATTGATATTTATAAATTTTTGGAAAATGGGCGTAGCCACGCCCACTTATGGTTACATGTGTATATCTTGGTAACCGCTGCACCAATTTCTTCCAAACTTGGCACAGTTGTTGGCCTTGGTACAGCATAAAAAATCACCGAAACTTTTTAAAATCGGACAATAACCACGCCCACATCCCATATAACGGTAATTCAGAGAAACACAAAATCTTCGATAAATCAGTAAATATTGAAGCTAATTTATTCAAAATTGATGCTTGCAACAATTCTTTACCAAGAAATACGTTTATGGTAAAATTTTTGAAAATGGGCGTGGCACCGCCCACTTATGATCACATATAAGTATATCGGTAACCGTTCTACCAATTTGTACCAAACTCGGTGTGGTTATTGTGCTTGCCACGTTGAAAATTATTGAAATCGGACTAAAATAACGGCCGCTTCTCATATAACGGTAAATTTCAGAAATGCTTGAAACTTCAATATTTCGAAATTGAAGGACGCTAATTTACTCAAAATTGATTCACCCCGGCTTACCATCTAGCGCAAGGTTTCGGAAAGGTAAAAAAAACGTATATTTAATACTTGCGCCGGGTATTTAATGTTCGGCTCCGCCCGAACTTAGACTTTCTTACTTGTTTTAAGTCATTTTAGTAAGGCTAATTTTCTTTTTATTGGCTTTAACTAACTTTTAGAAACATAGATTTATTATTGCCAGACGTGTCCGTTGTTGCTAACATTGTGCCAGACGTCATTTTTTATTAAAAAAAATAATTTTTCAAATCATTTTAGTAAAGCTCAAAATTTAATATGATGTTGTTTAAGTACTAATGAATCTAAAATTAATTTGCCAGAAATTAATTTGGTTGCTAAAGCAAGATCCAGATCGATTTAAAGCTGAAAGTTATTACGCTGGTAGTGAGGGAGATAGTAGCGAAATAGTGAATTTTCATAGGATTTTAGTATGAAAACTGGAAACTATAACTACTTGTCTAACGTTATAACATAAAGCTAATTATTGGAATATCAAAAATTAACTTTTTTTTTCAAATACATACGTTAAGGCAAATACAAACTTAAAACATTTCAATAAACATCAACTTCTATAGTGTCGGAATAAAGCAAGAAAAGCAAGAGAAAAACACAAACATTTTTATATTTATAACATTATCATAACATTTTTATATATAAACACTGGTTTACAACGAAAATGCGCAGAATCGCTTGCTGATTCCGAAATTTAGAATTTTTTCCATATATAAGTTTTCGAGATATTTGCAATTTACCGTTATTCAGCTTAAAAAAAAATAGTTCCATTTAATCACGTATATCTTATACGAAATGTAGCAAATGGAACGTAGAAAAACTCCCCACAAACAGTATGGCTGACTTCCAAAACGTATCAATACAATGTTTGGAAACTGCTATACTGCGGTATTCAAACTATTTGTATATGCAGAGTTGCGACACATTGCAACCATATACATTGCATATTTTAAATATTCAATATAGCAATGAACAATTTTTCTGTATTTTCCATATTTAAAACACCAATGCTAACCAATAACAAACGAAGCGCTGATTGCTCAAGCGATACGTTGCGATAACTTATCGGCTGCGGTTTGGAACAGTATACATTGTCAATATTTTATAGTTCGACGTTATGGAACCTTATACTTTGTACGTATACAAAGCAATTGACGTTTTGGAAGTCAGCCTATATATGCAAGTCATCGAGCTCACATCCGTGAGCCCGAAAAAGTTAAAGTTGGGGGCCGCACGGCGGCCCCGAGTTGTCCTTCCTAAAATAAAAGACAATAATTAGTTTTGTACAAGTATATTTACCATCTGCTTCCGCTGTCCCAAATGGAATGAATGCAACATATTTCTTAATACTATGACTTACTGTCTAACCGGCTGAATTAACTGCTGACGCTGCGCTTCCCATAGATTCAATTATGCTAACGTATGTTCGATTATTTTTGCATGAGAGCTCAATTACCCGCACTGGTTATGCGCGTGTTTGGGGAAGTGCGGCGTCAGCACATTCACACAGGTATGTGTGTTAGCCCCCGTATTAACTACCCCCCCTTTAAACATCTGCGTCCCGCTGATGAGGTAGTTCCTGACGTAGATCTTTGAAGTGGGCGTTTGGCTGATCTTGTTTGATTGAGCGATTGAGCCTGGGAAAGTAGATAGTTGTAGTAATCTTCCTCTAAATTACGTAGCATATTGATGCAAGGATCGTCAAAGCAACGGTGTCGAAAATCAGCGAAAAGTGAAAAGTTTCGCCCAATTTTCGTAGGTGTCGGATGTTTGTTACGCTAAGCTCGTGGATGTAGTCCAAATTCAGCTTCAGGCCATTACTCGTCCCGTTTGTTAATGCAGGTGGCAAAGCCTGTACCATCCTTGTCGACCTGCTGGTAAACGTTTGGTTTCCCACTACGATGGTTTCGTTGTTGAGCAAAACGACATATGTTCTATTCAGGACGTTTTCGTAGTTTTTTCCCTGGATTTTACCCCAAAAGTTCGTTAGGAATAGTGATGTCTCGTCCATCATTTCTATGATTATGCTGCTGGATGGTTCGAAGTGACATTTCGCATTTCCGCCTTTTAACAATCTCGCTATGCATCCGTCTTCGGGTAGTCTAGCCAACGATTTGGGTGCGCAAATTGAGTAATTGCCAATGGACGAGCAATCATTTTTAATACCGAACGTTTCGTCCTGATTTATCAACATTTTCTCATAGTCGAGTACCACGTGTTGTCCATTTATAATAGCAGCTCGTGTCATTAAGAGTCGATAGCTGTCCGGCTTCACCTTTGGCATGGAAAGAACATACAGAAGAAGTGTTCCGTTCGAGTATACGGATGCCGATCCGTGTTCTATAGCCTCGATTGAGTTTTGGTATGGTAAGGACTCTTCTTCGAGTATAAGTCTATGGATTTCCTCTCGATCAAGCAGGTTCGTGTACACGATGCCCGTTTTTGCCATTTGGCATGCTTGCACCACCTCCGATACTTGTTCTTTAAGGATGAGAACCCTACTTAGGTCCAGAAGTTCAAGGTTTTCTTCTTTAACACTCTTGCTGATTGCATTAATGTGAACCATCATTTGATTTGCTTTTTCAATTGCTTCACGGGTTCCGTTAAAGAGCTTGTCATTGACGCGATATTGGTGGTTGCTGTTGGTCACCACCTCGTTTAAGCTTCGAAGGATATAGTCCCAATCCGCAGCATCCGGAGAGCCAGCAATCCATTTCCATGCCGAACCGATCCAGTCAATAGAACGTGTCTTTCTCAATTTGGTCATCTGAAGTTCTTCAAGACGTAGCTCAGTCTGGTTCAGGTGGAATTGTAAAACTGTCCTCACTGCTTCGTTTTCGATCTCATACCGTGTTGTCTCTCTTAGTTTTTCCAACGCTATGTTAAAGTAGTTAAGGTCAATCACGTGGACGAGACTAAAGTGTCCATTCAAGATCCAGCCATGCCCATGATCAATAGTCACCAGAGGGGAGTCGTCGCTGTATATGTTGAGGCCGCAAACGCCGGATATGAAGAGTAAACTGTCTTTCGATAATTTTATGAGAAAGAAAAAACAAAAAAATTTGAATTGTTGTGGCCTTTTTAGATATCCACACCGCAAGTTTTATGAATTTTACATTTCTTGTTACCATACTTCGGGGACGGTGAGAAAAAAAACTGTGCTTTGCCTGAGATTAGTCTAGGTTCTTTCCAAATAATTTCATCTTAAATAGCCGTTAGTATGTGTTTTTCTTGTCCGGTACCTGTTAGTGCTTTTGTTTATCCGTTAAGTATTAGTATTCTGTTGTTTTTTTTGTTTAAATTTTTTATGTTTTTCCATTATACTATTATACTATACTATTATACTATCTAATTACTTAATTACTTTATTTCCCGTCCCCGCGATTATAAGATTATGAATTTATTATTGACAAGACCACAGAATCCAAAAGTTCTGCAATAATCTTTAACTAAAATCAATGTTTGCTAAATTTTTTGCAAATAAAGCAAAAACTTGTGGTCCGCTTTGATTTCTGTGGACTTATCAAGTCTTGCGGTAGAAGAGTTGCCTTTTTTGCTATAGTATATGCCTCTTTTATTTAGCATTTTGCTATTTTGTAGTGTATTATAGAAGCCTTTTTCACATAGTATTTTTTTATTTTTGTTTTTTTTTTTTTGTTTGT